TGAGTCAAGTAATCCGCATTGTGAGGTTCAGTTAAATGTGACACACCAAAATTTATACTCATCAGGTCACCTTCATCAATAAAATGGCCTGTTAGACCCATGTAACTCCTTGTATTATGTGGGTCTGTCCAGATGTCCGTAGTTAAACATATTGACTCCACATCTACAAGCTTTTCCTTGAATTGCAGTGAAACAATATCATACTTGTCATCTATCATTTGAGTAACTGTGCGTCGTGAAGGAAGTTTATATAAAGGCACTGTTGTTTTCATGAGGTACTGGAACCCTTCTTTCTCAACTGTGTTCAGTGGTAATGAATCCTTACAGATCATGAACATGATGGCATTATTTATTTGTCCATTCTTATTTCCATTTACTGAAAGAAAAATGTACTATTTTTAATTTGCTTACAATAAAGTAATAAAGGTCATTCTTCATAACAAAAAATAATTTGTCATACCTAACTGCAAAAAATCTCACCTTTGAATGATTTGATATTATTAACACATAAATCCATAGTTAGCTGATTAAAGTTTGACTTTTCCTGTGATACTGATGATGATGCTACACTTTCCAAGTCAGAATCACAGTCTTTTGAACTAATCAAACTTGATTCGTTTTCATAACATAATGTGACAGGTTTCTCTTTTGAAGTTGAAGGAGCATCAATATTATTTATCTGGAAATAATAAGCACTTTTTACTTCATTATTTTAGTCGAACCAGAAAACTAACACTTTCAAAATAGTTTCTAAGCATGCACATTGCACTAAGACTACGGAGAGGTTATTGATATATACAGTAGTATATAGATACACACTTCTATTTCTTTGTTACCACCACCAATATGATTATTTGCCTTTGCCACCACTTGCTTACGTTGACTTACGGTCTTGATAGTTGGATGTCTACGTAATAAATGGTTACGTAAATTTGTTGTGTTTCCGCATGTCTTCACTTCAATGTGACAATGCTTACATATGCCACTGGATCCTTTTTTTACAAAATGTTTCCAGGTATCACTTTTACTTGACATTTTAGGCTAAGAAAAAAAAGAATGTTTTAACAAACATACTGTATATATATATAATAATTTATGTTTCACTTACCTTTCGGATCGTGTATTTGATCCTGTATTTGATTTTATCAGAATATAACACAAGCAAACACAATTTTAAAACTAAAAATAACACGAGGACGAGGACCAAGAATTACGATTCTTGCTTGCACGAGGATTACGAGGTAGGAGGAGGCTGGAGCTGGAGCTTGAAGGAGGAGCGGAGACAGCCTTTAATCAAAGTTTACCTAATAATTTGCAATCATTGTTTGCAATCGTTTATTACAATAATTTATTATTGCAATAATCATGCACTTGTCAAGTCAGTAAAGTTATGTTGTCAGTCTTGTCACATGTCGAAATACTAATAGCGGTTTCCATTGGGGCTAATGCGCATCGAATATATTTTTGTTCTTTGTCTTTATTACTCAACGTCAAACGTCACTTAACAGAGATAGAAATACACTCAGTGCGCACCACGTACCAACGGAAACTAAAGTCCCTAGATCAGAAACCGCTATAAAATTAAAATGCTACAAACATTGTAGAAGAAAAGTAGTTTTTTCTTTTGGAAAGTTGCCACTCCTGACTCGCATTAAGGATGTCGTAAAGATGTTATGAAAGTGTCGATACTGTTAGCGGTTTACATCTTTTGTGACGTGAGATATGACATGAAACCATTATAACGTGAATCGGTCCGATTCGGGCAGTTCTTAGATCGATTCATTGAATCGATCCACCGTCTCGAATCGATTCAAAAAATCGATTATTTCTCGGTAAATAATCGATTTTTCGATTAATCGATCTGAGATCGACATCCCTAGCACTGAGTTAGTCCGCACCAACGATACCATAGCGCCTGTGTCCACAGTCATTCGAATTCTTCTACCATTGACCTTCCCGTTGATCACCAAACTGTCAGCGGTTTTTCCTAGACTCCTAACGGAAAACATCCTAGGGGCTCTGTTTTCTTCAGCCAATACTCGCTCATTAGTGTTGATTTCCTGGTGCCTATGTTCTCTCGATGGTAAACGGAATCGCATTTGGACACGGCAATCCCGTTTGATGTGGCCATTCCTGCCACATCTATAGCAACTTATGTCCTGGGATCTTCCGATGTGCCGATGTTCTCTTTATGATGAACGGAATGGCATTTGGATGCGACAATCCCGTTGGATATGGCCATTCCTGCCACATCTATAGCACCTAATATCCTGGGATCTTCTCTGGTTCTCTGTCTGGGTGTTGTTGCTACTCTTGTTCACTAGTAACTCACATAGTTTACTAAACATCTCCTCCAAACATATGTGAGAACTTCCGGGCTGTTCCTCGACCGTTACCGATCTTATCTTCGGTCTAGGGATGGCGCTAAAAGCAACTTCAATTTCTAGCGCCCTGACCAGTGTTTCGCTGCTGGTATAAAAATCGGGATATTTGCAGCGCCCTCTGTAATTCGTTGTCCCTCGGTCCGCTGATAAAGCACTGAGCAGCGAGTTTTCCTCCTAAATCCTTCCGGTGCTACAGGATACGCTAGGTGTTCCTGCGACGTAATGTCTGCTTCAAATTCCTGCAGACTCTCTCCGGACAGGACTCTGCAGGCGTGTCTTGATCTGGGCCTGGTAAAGTTGGCGTCGATGTTGGTCGCCATATCTTCTGTCCAGTGCAGTGACCAAAAGTTTGGTATTCCTGCTGTTGGGCTGCAGGAATAGTTTGCAGCACAGTTCCAGGGCAGGGCCACGCAGCGCGATGACAAGTGCCGCTGCTTTCTCGGTCAGTCCATCCGTTGGCAGTGGCGGCTGCTTCCAAACTGACGGTGGTACATTGTCCACATGTCGTTTTGTCCATCGTAGGTCGGGGCCTTAAGGTTCGCTGTTCCTTGAACGCCAGGTGTCTTTACTTGTACCTTGGTCTTCTGTAGGTCCATCTCAATCTTTCTATCTTCTGCTGAAGGCGTTCCTCCAGATCTTCTCTACGGCTTCTTTGAAGGTGGATTTCTTGCCTTCTTTCTAGTTCTTCAAAGTTCTTCTTACCCAAGACGGTTTGATCTTCTTGTCTTTCTTTCTGGCGGTGCGTCTCTATATCTTCTAAAATTTCCCTCCATTCATTCTTCTGACGGATTTCTAAATTGCCTAAAATTTTCTCAAGCCGGTCCTGCTCTTCTTGTTTTTCTTGTTCTCGTTGTAATTTTTCCTCTTCCTTATCTTTACGTAGTCTTTCTTGTTCTTCTTGTTTTTCTTGTTGTCGTTGAATTTTCAAATCTTCAAAAATTTTGTCAAGCCGGTCCTGTTCTTCTTTGACGGCGTAATTTTTCTACTTCTTTTTCTTCTGCTTTCTCTCTTCTCATATTCTCCATAAAATCGCCCAATAATTTGCTTACTTCTTCCATTTTCCTCGCTTGTTCTCTCGTACCAACCATAAAAATACTCTGATTCGGTCTAAAAATCGTCCAATCCACTTAATTTCTCCTTAAAATCCTCTTGAATCGCACTTCCGACACCAATTGTTAAGGATTCCGTGGGTCCACTATTTAAACTCACGATAAAATACTTAACGAATTTATTTGTCTCACTCTGTACACACAACTTATACTATTTACAACACAACTTATGCAACTACTATTACTCTAACGGTATTTCGCGGTATTATCAAACTTCAGACTATCTTCAGACTTCAAACTTCCAACTTGTCCAATTGTCAAAGCGCGGGCCTTATATACCCCCTGGCGGTTGTTTCTAGATTTTTCTAAAGAATTCTATAATTTTCTTTACTTTCTGGCGAATGCGCCAGGTTCCTCAATGCACGTTGCGATTATTTAGCAGTATGCAGTTATGCAACCAGTAATACACCTTGACACTATGTTATATTGGCCACACTTTTTTGAAGCACCCTGTATATTCTATAACAATTTTAAAATGTGTATCTTAACCGTCCCTATAACTTTTATATTTAATTTTTTTTTTAAACCTCGAAACAAATGAGATAATGGACTTTACTCTATCGTTGACTCACCCTGTACAGCTTCTCGGTTTATTTCATACATTTGACAACGTTTTTACTGTTCTCTTTTTGTTCAATACATTATAAACACATTGTCCTCTTCTTACATATGGAAATCTCGACCCAAAAAATGGCCGACTTAAACTCCGGTTTATCAGTGTCGTTCTAATTTTATTTAAAAAATCTAAAACTATGATGGTAGGGTAGACGTGGGGTAGACTCAATAATTTGTTGTTTTATTTTACGTTGTGAATAAATGTTGGTAGTTATTAAAATTGTTATAAAAATATATAATTCTAATAAAAATAGATAAGTTATAATAAGTATTTATTAACACAACCATCCGATACGCTACTGAAGCAGGTAAGTCAAATTAACGTATCTAAATTCTTTGACATCTAATCTTTGACAAGTAATAAATAAAAGCTAAATGCAAGAAAAAATATATAATTTAGTTAATTTAAGTGAATTTCATAAATGATCGATGTACTACACGTATGTATATTATATAGTCACTTACTAGAGCAAAAGTTGTTCCATTATTTCACTCAATTTTTGCCGAGATCTACCACGCACGCTACACAACCAACTATTTTAGAATCTTTTCGATAAATCGCGATAGTGTCACTGTTAATTTAAGTTCTGCCACAATTTCCATCTAGATTTACTACCTTTATACAACTATCAGTAGTAGAATAAATAATAAATAACATAAAATAAGCTCCGTAAAGACTGACAAATCCACAAAATTTCAAATCAAATTCAAATGTGTCAAATGAATCGTCAAACAGAACTGTCAAGGATCCCCACCCTAGAGTGCTTTTATGGTGCTTTTTCCGCCCACCATGCATGAATACATGGATAGCATTATGCTCCTTCCTTAGTCTTCTTATTCAAAGATCATGACTAACCCAAAACTAACCTTTGCCAGCCCTTAGTATACTAACCTTAATACATATTTACCAACAGCCCTCATAATATAAAGAGCCGCTTCAGTCTGATCCCAGGTCACACCCGCATTTTGCAAATTGAGAAACATCTGCCTAAAACAACTGGTGCTTCCTACTATAAATGCAACGTCCCTAATTAGCTCAGATACTTTTATTCTAAAGTCCTTAAATTCATCTCCATCTTCTAATATTCCTGAAAAAAGATAGTAGATCGATAAAGTTCTTAAAATCGTATTTAATTAAGTTCTTAGTGTTCTTTTTTTTTAGTTAAATCACATCTAACCCGTTAAACGGATGTACAGGGTGGTCGGAATTGGTCTGTTTTAACAGAGAAAACCTATTTCCTGACTAGATAGAGCAAAACCGACATAGATGTCATGGGCTCGATTTCTGAGTCACGTCTTGGGCTCGATTTCTGAGACACGTTTAATGGCATAAACCGCCTTTTGATATTTTTCACTGTCAACTGAGATACGGGGTCTTTTTGATTTTTTTACCATTTTGAAAATTGCCCATAACTTTTTTAATTCGCGGAATAATAAAATTCTGTAAAGACGTTCTTAAGGCACTTTTTTAAGCACAATCCAGTGGCGTACAGAGTTTTTTTCTATGCTTGCTCTTTTTGTCAGAAATAAACTAAAAAAATATAATTTTTTAAATGGAAATCATAGTTGGCTATGAACTTAAAAAAATGCTGACGTTTAACCATTTACAACGATATAAAGTTATGGGTACCTATTTCTAAGAATGAGAGAAATATTAGGTTTTTCATCTTTGTATCGAAGTGTGCCTTCATTTTGTGTTGACCTAGTTGTCTAATTATTTTTTATCGCAATTTAATATTCTATATTATTATTTATCTGCATAATTAGAGACTTTTAAAAAGGTAAATTAACATTCTATATTAGTTTTAGTAATTACAATTGTAATCGATACAATAAACACAGAACAAAGCTAAAAAGCGTATTTTTTGAGTGACGAATATAGTTTTTTTCTAAAACAAATCATCTAAGATGTTCAAACTGAGCACCTTCTTGTTGACTACATAATAAACATCTTTTGCGCATAGAGTTACAGCGATTTATTAGGCGAACTGGTGTAATAAGTCCAAAAGCTTGCCTAGTAGCCTTCTGCAATTCTTCTCTCGTCCCAATATGGTTCTTCCCTTGTATATAAGGTCTTTAATTTTCCCCATATAAAATTCGAAAGAAGTTAAATCACAGGACCTAGCAGGCCAAGATATGGGATCCCTTGTTCCAATTAGATTCTCTCTAAATTCTCCATTTAATGGCGTTTTAATTGCAATTGGTAAAACTCATATAGAATGTTGATTTATCTTTTCAAAAGTCTTTAATTTTGCAGATAAATAATAATATAGAATATTAAATTGCGATAAAAAATAATTAGGCAACTAGGTCAACACAAAATCAAGGCCTGCTTCGATACAAAGATAAAAAACCCTAATATTTCTCTCATTATTAGAAACAAATACCCATAACTTTATATCGTTGCAAAGGGTTAAACATCAGGATTTTTTTAAGTTCATAGCCAACTATGATTTCCAACCAAACAAAATTTTCCATAGCAAAAAAGTAACAGCGATTTGTTAAAAATGCACATTTTTGATAAACACCCCGTAACTCCGAAAGGGTAAGAGATCTAAATGTGCGGTTTTCATCATCATATTTTTGATAAAAGTTGAGCTCCAGACATCGATATTAGTTTTCGTCTATCTCTTATGGAAAAGGGTGTTTCCCTTTAAAAGCATCCAATTTGGCACACCCTGTACAAAACAAAATTAGAAAAAAACAAATACATAACCCTAAGGTATAGTGTGTCCAGCAAAATATTTATATGACAGTGACAGTGAAAAATAGATTGATTAGTCATAATTATTTTGATGTCAACTGTCAAAATCATATAATTATCTCAATGAACAATCTATAATAAAAATCACAATATATTTTTTTCTTATATAAAAAATTAGAAATAAATATTAATATAACAAAGTCATCATATAATTATAATCAGTCACAACTATACCGGGTGCGTCTCAAAAGTGGCTCGCCCCTAAACTTTTTTATTTTTTCAGATAAAAAACGAGATTTGGTATGTTAGTATATGACATAAATTAGGATTGATTGACGTATTCAATTGTTTTCGATCACTTCCTGTTTCACCAGAAATGACTACAACTTTTGTTTTTGAAATTGTACCTTCAATATTTTTTTATTTTATTTTATAAAAAATGACACTCTGAATAGAATGACATATTATATTATGTATGTATACGAGCCCTAACAACTATAAGTTGAGACAAGGTCATATTTTGGAATTATTGCCCTGGTTTTTCAAAATGACTGAAAAATATATGTTTAATTTTTTAAATATAAACATAGCCATATATCCTAAACAACTTGAAAATATTTTTATGAATTTGTAAATCAATCCATATTTACAGTAGCGGATTTTGTTCATAAAAGGACAAATTTGCCAGACAACTAAATGTTGGGACAAATATTTTTAAATAATTAATATCATAGGCCGCTTTGCTATAAACGTCACAAATGTCGCAAACTGTTTACTTCAGCATTGACAGCTTGAAGTGACTCGATACTTTGAGTAGTGAGACTTACTGTAAGTAATTTTAATTTTTTTAATTTTCAATTTTGTTAATTTAATCCAAAGTAATGGTCCGTGGAAAAGCGACAAATCAAAAACTACGCGAAATTATCATTCGTTAATACAGTACGGGAAAAACAATTCGAAAAATTTCTGATGATTTAAGTATTCCAAAAACCACGGTCTTTAATATAATAAAAAAATACGGCGAATCTGGCAGTGTAGGCGTTAGAGGTAAAAGTTCGGGAAGGCCAAAAGTTGTATCTCAGAGAGATTTACGAAATTTAGTAAAAATGTGCAAGTCTGCGAGAAGAAGTACTCTTCGCGAAGTAACATCATATCAAGAGAATGTTGCCGAAAATATATCCACAAATGCGGTCTGGGGTTTTACAAAGTAAACTTTATTTTGTGTGGATAATCAATTACCTGAAGATTATTGATACAAATTCTTATTAGGCCAAAGAAAAACCGCTACTGACAGAAATTCAAAAGAAAAATCGCTACAATTGGGCAAAATCTAAATTATCGTGGACACAAAATGATTGAAATAAGGTCATATTTAGCGATGAGTCTAAATTTGATGTTTGCGTTGGAGATCATCGAAAAAGAATAATACAAAATAAAGAAGAAGCCTTTCATAAAGATTGCTTAAAGAGGGTTGTTAAATTTCCTAAGGGGATTATGGTTTGGGGTTGCATGTCAGCAAGAGGTTTGGGCAAATTAAATTTTATAGATGGCACTGTTAACGCTCAAAAATATCAACATATACTTGAGACCTCACTTTTGCCTAGTGCTCAAGAATTGTTTCCAAACGAAGACTATATTTTTCAACAAGATGGAGCATCGTGCCATTCAGCAAAATCAACTAAAAATTGGTTCCGTAATAATAATATAAAAGTTCTATCCCATCCTGCAAGTAGTCCGGACCTCAATGTTATAGAAACTGTGTGGCATAAAATGAAGCATTATTTAAGAAATCACCCTCAACGAACAATTTTTGATTTGCGGACAAAACTGCAGGAAATTTGGGATAATTTTTATCCTCAAATGTGCCAATTTTTGGTAAATACAATGCCATTAAGAATTCAGGCAGTTGTTAAGGCGAAAGGTGATGTAACTCCGTATTAAACAAATTTCTTGTTGTGCTGTCCCAATATATAGTTGTCAGCAAATTTGGCTTGATTTTGGCAAAATAAGCTATTATCAAAAGTGATTTGTTTGCAAAGTTATAAAAATATAGTAAAATTGTCTAGATCATATTGTAATGTTTGAATTTAGAATAATAAACAAAATAAATTGAGTCGTTTTAACAAATTACTATTTTTATTGCAAAAAAAGACCTTGTCCCAACATATAGTTGTTAGGGCTCTTATGTGTACAAATAAATGTACTTACCTTCACAATCGGGTTCCATCTGGCAATGCCTACACAGCGCAGTAATCAATCTTTCAATATAAGGTCTAAAAAGGTCACTTATGTTATTGTTGCTCAACTGGTAGAGCTGTTCGCTGAGAAGATACCACAGATTAAAAGTAATCTCGGCAACTTCATAATCGTGATGTCCCACGCACATCAACACTAAATCTAAAATTTTCACAGAGTGATGCATATTATTAGGTGCGCTCGACGACACAATTTTATCTAAAAATGATTCGGCCAATTCTGTAAATAATCTGAAACAAAATTAATTCTCTATAGATGTGATTTGTAAAATAAAATTATTCTCAACTTGCCTACAATACTCCATAGACCTAGTCTGGTCTTCGTTTGCAACAGAATAGTGGTACGATGATTCCAGTTGTAGTATATTATTAAACAAGTAGTTTTCTAATTCTATTTGATTATTATTGTTTTCTAATGATCTAAGTAGTGTACAAATACAGTCTGTTGCAGCATCAGATAATTGAATGTTGCTCTAAAAATACTTAAATATACCCAAAAAAAATATAAAAAACATCTTAACTCACTTCCTTCCCTTCGTGAGGCCTAAAATCCAATATTTGAAAGGCTAAGTTGACTATAACACTATCTGAAATTCTATTTAAACTAACAGCTTCAACTGAGACCCAAGATGTAAAACACCTTATCGTTCGAGCTATAATAAGAGAATTTTTTAAAAGATTTCCTGCATAAGTTGTACAACAATGCGTTAAAAATTCTATTACTGTCGGAGAACATTCTTTCAGATCTTCTAAAACCTCTTGACGTCGATTTTCACCAAGTCTAAAAACATATAACATTGAAACTGCTCATATTAATGTATTGTAGGTATCTAGAAAATGAAAATCACTTTCAATTTCTTACCTGACAGATCTACTTTCTAATTCTTCTGGCAATACTGTTAAGATCTCTACTAATGGATAAATGTAAGACTGATTGGAAAATCTGTTTATTAAATCTAGAGTTGCTCTTTGCCAGGATGGCATTTGCAATATTAGATCTGCAAGTGCTAAACATAATTGAGTAGTTATGATTCTACTTGTGTCTGTAAAAATAATAAAAATATTATTATATATTATTACTGCAGGAAACATATTTCTTCGACCTTCAGTAATTTGATTAAAATGTTCCAAAAGTGAATCTCTTAAAGATCCGTAAACTTCAATGGGTAATTCATGAAACGATTGATGAATCTTTGATCTCATTGTCTGTGCTGCAAAATAACACGATTCTAAGTCGCGTTTCTGGTGCAACAGTTCGTCTGCCACCGTCCAAGCATGTACCTGAAATTATAAACTACGATGGTAGATCTATTATGACGAGTTTAACTTGAATTACTGAACGTTTCAACATATTAGATGGAGTTAAAAGGAAATTAATGAATTACTTACAGATCCTTGTAATTCCAAAAGCCATTTGGAAGCTCTTTCTTTTTCTTTTCTATCTGGATTCTGATATAAAGTTGTAACAGCTAAAACTACCACGTCTAGGTTAGGTTTTTGATCCATAATTTTAGAAATTCCCCAAAACTACTCCTAATTACGGTTTACATCTCATAAATACAAACTCATTCTATATTAGTCGCTCAACATTAATTGTCGAAAAGAAATAATAAAAAGACTATTTAAAATATTTCCAGTAAATATTAAAATCCAAAACAATCACAGACAAAATCATGACAGAATTACAATGTCCCCAACCCCAACTGTATATGTTGACAGTAAATATTATTGTTTTATCAATAAATTTATTATTTTCCCTGATATTTGACTAGAAGAGAAATATAAACTTAGATTTTGTTTACAAAATATTATAATATAGGCCATATGACCATACTTAAATTTGCCAATTTAAGTATGGTCAGATATATATATCTGACCATACTTAAATTGGCAAATAAAGTTATATCCTATATAAAGATATATTTTAAAAAATATGTTATGTCATATTATTCTTCTATTGGCAACAATGACAGTGAGTTAGTCTCTTTCTATAAACCAAGATGGTGCGAGCTACATATAATTATAGTTTTCTGTAACTTAAAACAATTTGAAAAAAATTGCAATACATTAAATTACATAAAAAAAAACTGTAACAAAGAAAAAGTTTAAGGAATAATCTACCAGATTGCGCTATATGGTTAAAATGGGGGAAATATTTAAATTTAAACTATTTTGGCTCCTAATAAACAACATTTCATAACAAAAAGTAATAAGTAGTTATATAAACGGTAAGTAAATTAAAAAATATATATTATTCATACCAAATAGTGTCTATTAGAGAAGCGCATTAAATTACGATGTAGTTGACGTAGAACGTCAGTATTTTGAATTTGCCATAAGCAATTTATAACGTTATTTTGTGGATATGTTAAAAAATGAATTTAAAAGGGAGTAAGTAATCATTTTTTGGTCAAATAGGTGAAGTTAACGTTATCGTTAGATTTTGTAATTGTTTTAGTTGTGCCTCGTTTCATCTGAAAGACCGAAACGTCAAACATATCCGTGTATCGGATGCCCAAAAAGTATACGACGTGTACGATTTCAAGGAAGAAATTGGACATGGTACTTTCGGGATTGTCGTGTTGGCGGTAGAAAAATCGAACACCAAGCAATGGGCAGTTAAAATCGTCCACAAAAACATTGTAAGCTTTTATTTAGGGTTTCCACCCGTCCGGATTTTGTCAGGACAGTACCGATTTTGATCCAAAAGTCCCGCGTCCCCACGCAAAGCCCTAATGTCCCGATTTTTATTTGTTTAGTAGCCACCGTCTTTATTAAACAATAAAATTGTAAAATTTATTATTAATTTCTTGAATGTAAAAAGAGTTCTTTTCCACGAATTTATTAAAATTTTAGCATTAAAAGAAGTAGATATTGATACTCTGTTTAATGACAAACACAACTGTCAGTGTCAAGGATCCTACCGCTGGACAAACTATACCTAATATTGTCAACTAATGGAAATATTTCAGTTTTAAAAAAAGTTAATGCTTTTATTTTTGATTTTAATAATTCAAAACTAATATAATATTGTGGCGGTATGTTTTATTTTCCAACATATTGTTTTCATTAAAAAAATGCCGCCCCCATCAGCTTGCCGCCCTAGGCAGCTGCCTATCTTGCCTAATGAATAAAGCGGCCCTGATACCCGTCATCAATGACATAAATTAAACATGTTGACTAAATAGTTATTAGACTGAAATCATAAATTTGAAATGTTTTTGTTTATCATCATTTTTTCAATAATGTCTAATTTATGTCATATACTAACATGTAACCTTTGCATGTAACATACTAAATCTCGTTTTTTATCTAAAAAACAAAAAAGTTACAGGGGTGCACACATGGCAAAATTCTATGTTTAGCTTGACAAAAATCCAGATTAATTTTTTATGGTATGTTCAACCACACATTGTTTTTCTTATTACATATTTTTGGGCTAATTTTAAATAGTTTAAATTTTTCTATTCATCTAGAGTAGTGAAAGTTTTACCAAAAATTGAAGCAGTTCGCACTTTTCGTGGAGCGCAAAAGCGTGTCATTTGAACCCAGCACTGAGATTTTAATTTTTTTCAAAGTCAATAATATGTATATGAAAAAAAAATGTGCATTAAACTTAGAAATTCATAATTTAAAATATCTGTCTTCTTAAAACTAAAAAAATCCTTTCTTGATATTATGATATTACAAGACTGGTAGAGTAAACGCCACGAATGTTTGGGAGTGATTCATCGCTTGATGAAGTTAGAATCGACACGCGCGCTATCATTTTTACATTAAAAACGTAAATTTTTACCGCAGACGTAGGTTTTTAAAGCCCGGTCTAATCATCTGCCTGCGCTCTTCCTACTTATTCTAAAATGTTAGCGTGATTGACAAAGACGATACTATATCGCGTTTCTTTGATTGGTTTGTTTTTGTGCGTCAGTCCATTGGTGTGCTTGCAGTGCGACCCACAAAACACATACACAAGGAGAAGTGCGAGCGCCTTGCTAAATATTGGAAAGTGAAATTGACGTTTAAATTTGACACTGTTGACAAGTCTACTGCTACTAGCGCCCCCAATATCGCTTGTAGGAACTACGGACTAGATTGTAACGCATGGCGGGAACTTTAAAAAAATAAAAAATTTTAATTCTTCATTTATTTTTAATTATGACATACATAAAAACACAAAAAATACACCATTTTTTAAAAATATGTTTAATATCATTATCAAATATACATCAGAAATTAATTCCAACAAAATAAATTAATAAAATTAAAAGAATAATGTTACAAGTAGATCAAGAGACAAAATTAATTATAACAAAACTGAAAAAAATGGCGTCATAGATGGCTTAGAAATGAAGCCATCTATGAATTATATAGGAAATGTCATCGATCATCATTTTTAAGCCAGCTGGACGATTATTTCAAACATACAAGCTGAGTTCGTTCATAGTGCTCTTAGAAATCTAGATAAACAAAGAATAATAAATTAAAAGTATTCCAGGGGAAAAGAGAGGAAGAACCTGTATCGTCTTTGATATCTGTTAGGGTATTGTTAAAAGAGCCATCTCTTTGCTCGAAGTTTTCAGGTCGATTAAAAAGATGACATTTACAACAATACTTTGCCGTAACTTGCACAAATATCAGAGAAAGAGTACAGGTATTGCCTCTCTTTTCCTCTGGGATGCTTTATATCTGTTGTTCTTTGTTTATCTATATTTCTCAGAGCATAATGCCGAACACGACTACAGTATATAATAATTTCAATATCCTAAGTGGAAAGAAAAAAGATCACCCTTCTGTTTTGTACTATGGTCCCTTTCTTCCGATGGCTCATCTCGTTGATATTTAGGAAGGTATCCATAAAATATATATTTTATTATCGGTCCTGGGATGAAAAAACATAAAATTCAATAATTTGATGATCCTTTTCTGTCACCTAAATCAGGAGAATGACAATGAGCATGTTAAGATGAAAAAAAACTTATTTATCAACACTTACCTACACGTTAGTCCAAGGAGTTTTATCAAAAACCTATATTTGCCTAAATAATTTATGTATTCAATTTACAAAGCAAACTGCAGCGTGTAAACAAAAGAAATAAAATGGCGACAAGTCAACGTCAACGACCCGACAAGGAGAAAAGTGGTGTTCGAATAACAAATTATGGGTTGCAAAAAAATGTTTTTGTCTCCTTTCAACGCACATTTTAGAAAGAAAAAGAGATGAACAGTTATACTGAAAGAATGTCAAGGTTTTATCTGTCACTCTTGTCAATAATTTATCGGTAAGGAAGATTCCTAGAAAATCGCTTGTAGTCAAGTTTTCAACCATTTCCAGTTCTCCCATAAGAAGTGTCATCCACCTGGTGCGACCAATGGGGCATTCCATTTTATATTTATAACCAAATATATGTTTTGACAAGACTTTGACAGTTAAAACAACAAATTACAACAGATTATATATTGATTATTATATGACTTGAAACACCACGGCACTGGAATTAAGTTTTATGTGACCTTGAACAGATTAGTTCACATGGTAGCGACCGATGAATCACTCCCAAACATTCGTGGCGTTTACTATATAGAAATCAGTGTGAATCCTTGCAAAAAAGGGGGACCATTTCAAAAAAAGGGCAGATTTGGGAAAGCTGATTTTTTTATACCTGTATCAAACATACATTAGAGATTTTAATTTTAATAAATGAAAAGCGGAACTCCGTGGAACTCATTACTATAACTCATTATAAAAACAAAATTATAAAAAAAATAAACCCAAAGTAGTGTGTTAAAATATATTTTATCTACATTCAAAATAGTTCAAATTTATTATATTGATATTATTTAATTGTACTACATGTCTGTAGCTATATTGTCAATAATGATGATTAATTTTCAAATGGTTGTGCTGGGTGTAAATGACTCTTTTGCGCTCCACCTTTGTGCAAGGCTAACGCTCTACCCAGAAAGTGGAGCGGAGTCCATCAACTTTCGGTAGCGCTCGCGTCGTTAGCTTAGGGCTCGAACACACTGACGACCAGGTCGCACCGGCCAGGCCGCTGCTACCTTTAAAACCATTAAATCAAATGATACCGCGCACAGTAACGTCCTGGCCGTCCGTTGGTCGTTGCGACCAGTAGACTGCACTAAAATATTATAATTTTCTGCGGCTTGTTGCCAGTTTTCTTCCAAATTAATAATGTTTCAGATGAAATCCCTCAAATTCAACGCACAATATTTTATTTTCTATAAGATATAGTGTTTTAGTGTAGTTTTTGCACACGTGCAGAAAATCCAAAGAAATAGTATACAGACTGGATCAAAGGGAAACTTAAATCTAGTCCCTTTTTATCAAGGGTCGATTCTAGTAAAAATTCAAAACATTTTTATATGACATACTCTATTTATGGTTGGTATGATACCTGTTATTATACCTTCGAGTTTCGATGTTAAAAAATAAAAAAAATCATATTTAAAGTTTTTCTACAACCACTTGTTTTTTTTATTAAATTATTTTTTTTAGTTGTATTGTAGTCATGTACAAGGAGGACAACTGTATTTTAAATATTATATTTAATTTAACGTTTTACAAACAGGGTCCATTAGACTATATTTCTACTAGGTACATTATTTTTAAAAAAATTAAGAGTAAAAGTAACTTCAACATTCATAAAAATAGAAGTATTTACTGTAGTAGATTCTCAGTAACAATAAAAAAGAGGAATTTATATTGTAAACATTGAAATAACTGGAAGCTAAACTTTCTACCTGCTTAGAGCCAGTGTCTGACGAAATTTTTTTGAGATGGCCCTAATATGTTTACTTCTAAAGTCGATAAGAGCCATGAGTAGAATTCCATATCAGTAGAAAAAAAAAATAGAATGTCTCTTTTTGTCGGTCGCGCGTACACAATCCTTTTTGTTCGGCCTATTTGTTCTGCTTGTTCGTGCGCGCTCGGTTCGTTCGGGCTAAAATGCCCAAGTCTGGACGCACCTTTAGGAACAATACTGTTTTTGTCCTTTATTGATATTATGCTGAAAATCTCACGAGTTACATGTTTCACTCTACACATATTAAATTACATAGACGTAGGATGTAGAATATTCTGTTATGAAACGACTGATGGAATAGCAGGCATCGCGGATTTGAAAAACATGGAAATAACGACGTTCTCGTATAGTCGGGGTTGGAGATTTTACTTACTCCATTTACCACACCAGTATTTATTAACGAAAAATCCAAGAATATTTTAAATGCATTATTTAATATTAGAACATTTAATAAGCTCATGAATAGCAACTTCGCTTTTTATTTAAGTCGGATATTTTAACATTTCTGAAGCTTAATTCTTTCTGAAACAATATTTTCTAATTGGTAAAACGTAAAAAATCGTTAGATCTGACAAATCTGTTGAAACTGGTCGTTCATCTGGCCGCAGCTATAAACGCAATACATCCGGCCAGCCGACGGCCAGGTCGTTGCGACCTGGTCGTCAGTGAGTTAGAGCCCTTACTTCGGGTTTTTCATATTACCGATTCTGAACCGTCCTAGAACTGTAATACACATGCGCAGAAGGAAATACGGAGAAATTATTTCATTAGCGCATGCGCGGCAGAGTTGTAGGACAGTTCAGAATCGGTAATAATAAGAACCCGAACAAAGCTATTATAGGTTGCTCGAAAAAAATTATAACATGTAAAATTAGGTCCACAGATTTTATAATAACGATAGTGAGTGGATGAACAAACAAAAAAAATTCTAATTTCGATTTTTGTCAAGCTAAACATAGCATTTTGCCGTGTGTGGGGTGAACCACTTCTGAAAAACACCCGGTATATCCCGAGCCGATGCATAACCTGTTATAGTAAAGACAAGACATAAAAACATTTTAGGCAGGAGCAACAAAATTAATCGAAGTCAACCGGGAAATACAAATTTTGAAGGTGGTGGATCATCAGAACATCATCTACTTGAGCAAGGTGTACGAATCGCCGAAAAAACTTTACATGGTGTTGGAGTTGTGCAAAGCTGAACTCTATAAAATCTACAAGCACAGCAAGCCCCTATCGGAAAAAGTAACGAGAAGAGTTATCTACCAGTTGGCTGATGCTGTATCATATTTGCACAAAAACGGTATGTATTTTGCATTTTCCTATAAATAAATAACAACATAGAATAGGAAAACTTTAGAGTCCATTTCACTCGGCATTTAACGTTTTATGTAAAACTGGCTAGGAATTTTTACACAAATCCCATACAGCCACGGTACGTACTATGTACGTACCTGGTACGTAATATTGGGGCGAACATCAGGTCCCTGGTACGTACAGGTATGTACTATGTACGTACTAGAGACGTACATTTTCCAACGCTTTGTACGTCCCCGGTACGTTCCTGGGATGTGGTAAAGTACGTCGCATGTACGTACATTTTATGTTTTGTTCCGGACCAAAACTGGATGTAAAATGATCGAAAGTACATACAATGTACGTACTATAGACGTACATTTTTCAACGACGTATACGACCTAGGAATTTAATTAGAAATAATTCAATGGAAGTCAGCTTAAAATATTTATTAATATAAAAACTCAGGTACAGGGTCATCCCTTATGTCTTGATACACCCGTGAGTCTGGCTTCGGTCCGGCAACTACACCCTTAGCGCACTCTGTCTTTTATTGGATGTTGATAGATATTTCATTTTTTTTTATTCTTGAACTGCTTCTAACTAAAAAATGCAAAAAGTAAACTAAGTATTCAAATATCTAATTCTTGCCTCTGTTTTGAAAAAATTGAATGAGCCGATTCTCAATCATTCGAGGTTGTGACTGTGCTAGGGGAAATAGTTACATTAGATGTGGCAGTATCATGTAATTCATCTGATGATTCCCCATTTTGAGATACACAACATAAGTTATCTCGAGGGTTATCTGTTTCAGTTTCGCTAATGTGAAGATGTGGCAGAGAATCTTCAGACTGTAAATCAAGAACTGAATCTGATGTGCTATGTTGATCATTACAAGATTGAAGGAAAGATGCCTGATTAAATGAAGCAGGCTGTCTATTTTGATTAGCATTCAAACCGCTTAATTTGAACATTTGCCCTTTTGTAATATTTACTAGAAGTATCTTTGCACCACATTATATTATTAAACTTTAACTTAACTTGAAACAACGAGCAACGAAGGCAACGACAAAAGAAAGCAAGCCGGAAGCGGAACAACCTATGGCCACCATGGCACCCACTCACAACACAATCGAAAACTGGATCGGACTAGGTGCGCACTCAGTGTATTGTTGTTTTTATTTTTTACGTTGATTAATAAAAGATGGAAATACACTGAGTGCGCACGTGCACACTAGCTCTGCCAATCGAAAACGCCATTAGAAAACGCCCGACTTCCGATTCCGACAGGACTCGAATGTGAACGAATAACTTAGCGGGAAATTTAAACATAGGACTGCATAATTTTCCTGTTAGGCTTGATTGCATAATATATTGCATTTTTAACCCATCAGATTTCTTCAAAGGCTGTGTCATTCATTATGGTCATTGGATAATTTAGGAAATCATTTTTTATAGCGGTCGGGTTAGATTTATTAAGAAAAGAAGTAGAGGTAGGTTAGAGTGACTTGAATTAACGTTAGCCTAGAAAAGATCCACTGATTCAGTCCATTCATTATTATTGTGTATGTCTGACCAAAATAATCCAGTCATGATATTAAAATTAAATAACATTTTGTAATGCGTTGTCAAAAATTTTCAAGATACGTACGTAGTGCGTACTCGCATGTACGTCCGTAGTGAAGTCCTACAATGTACGCGTAAATAGTACATACATGGGGCACGCACTATGTACGTACACTTTTGTACGTACATAGTACGTCCCTAATTGGTCCCAAGACGTACCGACGTAAAATGGACATAAAATGAACGTCCCTGGGACGAAGTGTGCCTGTATGGGATGTAGAAGGAAATTAAATATAAAGAATTATACTATATCCGGTAGTGTAACAGATTTGTAGACAACTTCTTTATTTTTAAGATTTTGATGGCCAAGCATCATCAAAATATGCCTTATTTGGACTAAATTTTCTCGAAAATAAAGACATGATTTAAAATTCCGTTACAATACGGAAATAGATTGAAGTTTTGTGATTACGTGATATTTTTTATATCGTTTCCATATAGTATACCTAATCTGTGGTAATAGACTCTTAAATGTAGGTATTCGTTATAGGTACACTACTCAAAACAATTATCGCATATTTGAATAAAAATAATTATTACATACTTCTAAATGAAGCGTGCATTTTTTTGCCTTTCTCTTGTGAGTTTTTTTAGGATAATTAGGGTACGCATTGACATGTAATTTTTAGTCGGCCGACTATTTAGTTGCAAAAGTGAAAATAATACATTTTTTTGGAGCCGATCGGTCCAATATTTGATTACAGTGCGTAGCCTTAGGCTATGCGCTGACATGCAATTTTGAATCGGCCGACTATTTAGTTGCATATTTGTAAGCAATATTTGATTTCAGGTATTTGTAATAATTTTTTAAGAAAGGCTGAAAATATGTATTTTTTATTTATTAACATCTCTGAAATTATCGAAATATATTTATTCATATCTTAGGATTATGTACAGTGATCTGAAAGGAAGCAAAAATGCAATAATATACAGGGTGTTCAATTAAAAAAAATCATCGCTATCCACTCACACTTTTTTGAGCCACTCTAGAGATGTTAAAATATTTTCCTGGAATATATCCTCGTACATTACTCGTTATTCTAGGAGCTACAGATGCCCGACGCGACGCATTGTTAGCATCTGTTTATATTTATAATAATGTGTAAACGAGAAACCTTGTAAAGCACACGAAAATGGGACACCCTGTACAATATATTTCTGATTTCTGGTATTTCTAGATGTGGTCCATAGAGACATTAAAATGGAAAATATACTGATTGCTGACAATCCAAAAAACCACAACGACGAATATTTTATTAAGCTGACCGATTTTGGACTGAGCATAGTCAAAGAAGGCGTCGGCATTCAAAGTTTGATGAAAGACTACTGCGGGACCGTTCTGTATATGCGTAAGTTTTTTCTTTTAATTTAATCCTGAATCTTTTAATTTTTGATTTATTACAGTTGAAATAGAATACTAGGGACAGTGATTTTGGAACAGTTCCAATAGTGGAACAGTCCGTAACAGTTATCATATTCCGAAAATCACTGTTCCAATTCCACGTAATAACATAACCGCGAGGAATTTAATATAGGAACAGTGAAAATACCGCAGCCACAATACAATATAATTTTTTTCCATAACAACTGTTAAAATTGCCCCTTATATCTATCAAAAATAGTAGATAAAATAGTACTTTAACCGTAAGGGTAGATTAAATGATACTTTAACAGCGGGGATAGGTTAAAAACTTTATTTCTTCTCGCACGTTTTTTAATTGCTTCCGTTTTTGAAAATTTTTGTATTCCTTTTCATAAGTTATTCGGGATTTAAATGGAAGTAGTTTGGATATGGCGTTTGTCGCTTCAGCCTGAATACCTGTTGGTAATTTACTTATTTCGTTTTGAGCCATTTCTGCTCTCACTTTCATCCGAAATTAATTCACTCGCGATTTCATCGCTCGTGAATTAATTTTTTCGGTCGACGATAAAATACCATTTTATCGTCTTCTTTAAAAATTAACTATTTGAATTACCCGCACGGAACCGAACAAAAACTAAAAAGTACTTAGCGCTTAAAAAAATGCGAATCACAACTTTTTCAATTATGCAAATACAAAGATTTATAACATACCCCCATAAATTATGAAAATAGATTATTATAAGTTCCAAAACACCGTACGATCGAAAAAACAGCGTCAAAGACAGCTGGTGAATAACAATCGATGATTTTTTGGCGAGGTCAATCCCTAGACGTCATTTAATAAGAATCGACATAAAACTTGTCAAAAATTAACATTAATTATAGAAAAATTAAAAAAGGATAAAACGTTTTCAGACATACAAATTTATTTCCAAAAAAATATTATTTTTCGAATTTAAAAAATAAATTACAATCTTCTTAAGGCCAACTGGCAGTAAAAGAAAAAGTAGAAAAGTAGTAGAAAACTAAAAGTAAATGACGTCTAGGGCTTGACCTCGCCAAAACTATCATACATAATCATTTCTCAGCCGTTTATTTTCGATGGCATCGTATTAATTGTAAATAGTGTTAAATAGTTTTCGTTAGTGTTGTTCTTTTCTGTTAATAAACTTCGTTGATTAATTAAGACTTTAAATTATCCGCACAGAACCCAGCAAAAACCTAACAATACATAGCGCCTAAAAAAATGTGCAACATGACTTCTTCAATTGTGCAAATACAAAGATACTTGCAAAAAAAATAATATCACAACCACATAAATTATAACAATCGATTAATTTAAGGCATTTACTCAAATCTCGGATACTAGATGACTGGAATACGGATACTTAGAGACTCGGAGACTCTAGTTGTCTGGAATACTCAGACAGTCGCTACTCCAGTTGCGCGGGTTTCCTATCTAAAATAAAATTAATATTCAATTTGTTTCGTATGTGAAGGGGCTCGTTTATTTAGAGTGCTTCATTTAAAACGTCTAGTTACAGTAGTGATGATGATATAATTATTCAATATTATTATTACCGTCGCAGAAGAACAGTGAGAAAATACTGGTTACATCCTTTATATCAAAAAAAATATTACACCTTTACAGGAACAGAAGAAGCATTTAACTTTATAATTAAATAATACTGGAAATTTTGCCACTTCGGCCACAAACTTCAAACTAAACGCTTGTTCCCTCATGTGGAGATAAGGATACTGAAGCCGCAGTTACACACGTATCAAGTAGCTAAACCAAGTTACTAAATTTAGTGACCTGCATGGTGTAAACAACTCGATTTAGTACTGGCGCAAGTAACAGATTTAATAAACTGTTTAGTCAACTGAATAGAAACGATTTCTATTTACTTGCGCAAGTGGTCATCCTCACCTCTGTTTTTGAGCAACTAAGCTGTTCACTACTCGGGACAAAGCGTATAAGGGAATTGAGCAAATCATGGGTATAGAAGTATTCGGATTTCATGAAATTAAAAACAAAATACGGGCATTGAGGTCAACTTATTGTCAAGACAAAAAAGGAAAATACAGCATTTATGAAATCGGGAGCCGGTTCGAAGGATATTTATGTCCCCAGTGTAAAATCTCGTTTAAATCAACAAATAAACAGTATTAAAAATAAAACGTAGACGCTCACTAAAATGAACGGGCTAAATTTTAGCTACTTGCTTTATATAGCTACTTGATACGTGTAACTGCGGCTTAAGCAACTGGGCTACTGAGCGACCGGCACGGCGAAGTCTCTGGGTAGCGCCGCAAGACTGTTCACTACTGGAGTTTCTCCGTCTGAGCGCCACCACATAATAACTGTTAATAATTAGATATGACGCGTCTCCAAGTCGCCGAGTATCCCAGCCCTTTGGAGATTTGAGTATCCCTGTGTGAGTAGTGCCTAAGTTTCAAAATAATATAAGTATGAATTATAAACTTAGAATTGCTGAAATAATCTTAGTTCGCATATAAAATACTTTTATATATTTTCAGCTCCTGAAATATTGCAAATGAAAACGTACAGCGAACTGTGTGACGTGTGGTCAATCGGAATCATAATGTACATGATGTTGTACGGATCAAATCCGTTTTACAATCAAAACGAAGAGATCCTCATGCACAACATATGTTTCGAGGAACCCAAGTACATCACGGAGGGTGTTAGTGAACAAGCTATCCAGTTGTTGAAGTGCATATTGGTGAGAACGCCATTTTATCCTAGTAGATATCAGTAAACAAAAACGTTTTAATATTGTAAATTGTATAGGAGGGGGCAGTTAATCACCGCGACTTTATAGATCCATTGATTTCCTTTTTCTTGAGTTATAACTCATCATACAGTCTCAGAGCTTTTAGAATTTAGAATAAGTGGGAACGGGGTTAATCTCTGCGACCTTAGAGATCTATTGTGTCCTCCTTTCTTGAGTTATAACTCATCATACAGTCCCAGGACTTCCTACGGAGACCCGTGTCCTTCACAGTCGAGGAGCTACGACCCAGTGGCGCTATTCTGTAAAATCGTCGGTATCGGTAAGTTACGACAGCTCTCGATACGTATTTGTATATAGTAAAAATGTGTTAATCGTTGTTGTCATAGTTACCGATCGGTCCTATGGCAGATATCGTAAATTTGTACCGACAAAAATCGGTATCTCTACCGTGCCCTTGTCAAACTCACGGTAGAGATACCGAGAGTCGTCGGTATAAATTTGCGATATCTGTCATAGGGCCGATCGGTAACTATGACGACAACAATTAATACATATTTACTATATGCAAATACGTACCGATAGCTATTGGTAACTCACCGATTCCGACGATTGTAGAGAATAGCGCCCCAGGCCGGGTAGACGAAAGGGTAGCTTGTGTCGCCTGTTGGGTTTAGAGGTAGGAGGTAGGCTTCCGACCCTTGGAGGAGGTGGTAACTTGTATGCCACTTGCGGAGGATGGTCTCACGCAAGTGTCAGCCACCTCTCTTGTAGTTCTCTTTGGGTTTGGCCCCTTGGAACTTTCATTGTTACTGTTCCCAGTGTTGCTAGGGGGTTTCCCCACAGCTTCACCGGTGATGTTTTTATTACTATTATTACCAGATCTCATAGTGTTCCCATGAGTCGCTAGGGACAGTCGGTCCATTTCTACAGAGCCCCGCATGTAGAAGTAAGGGGTAAAATACAATGGGGTGCCCCCCGATGCCCCAAGGTTGAGGCTGTCCGTAGCCCCGCCCGGTATCGTTATATGTCTTGGTGCAATTCCCTGGCCATGACACTACAGTCAGGGACAAGACGATGAGTGAGATGCTTCTTAGACCAAGCCAAGTGCTAGGGAAGATTCCCCCCATCACCTGACCAGGAGCTTCCCCACCAACGACAAGGTCTTGCATCTCCTAGGGGAAGGTCTCAAAGCTTGCTCAGCTTCGACTTTTCTCGGTCAAAATTCCTGAGAAATCTCCATTCAAAATTCCCATTCCAGGTTATGGATGAAGCCTTCCAGGTTCTTGAGTTCCGCTTTAAGTCGATTTCCACTTGGAAAGGAGAACGGCTCTGGTCCAGTTAGTGATGTAGTATTCGTTATCAGTAGGTTGAAGCTAAGAAACAACTATAAATGCAGATTCTGTGGGGGAAATGGGGAAACACCAGAACACTTCATTACTGAGTGCACCGAGCCGACAATTCGTGCCATTAACTTTGTCAAATCGAAGATGCGGAATACTTCTGTAAAACCCCCAAGTAGCATTTTCACGACTTGCGACCACATGTTTACTAAACACAACGTTGGATTAGTTATTAGTTACAAAAAATAGTTAGCTCCGTACCTTGGGTATTAAAATAAATGTAAACGTTTTTGTAACATTGTGCCGACGTTGAACTAGTACTACAACAAAGTAAAAGCTTCTGCGACGCCGACGTCGAATAAACGTTGTCTTCTAACCTTTTTTGCTTAAGTGAGCTTTAGGTGATTCGGACAACGTTGTCACAATGTTGGGCAATAAAGAGTTTTCCGACGTCACTTTCAGGACCTATTCCAACATTATGCAAACGTCGTCTGTTTTACTCATTCCAACGTTGTTTAGATTTCCTTTTTCTTACGTTGGTAGGACGTCGAGCCACTACCTTTTTGCAACTGTATTGAACCAAAACCTTAAATCTTAAGTTTTCACTTCGTTCTGTTCAGTCAAACAGTTCAGTGCTGTTTTTGTTTTTATAAAACAACTTAATTAAAATGGGACGTAAGAAAGGCACATATAAAACTAAATTTAAATATACATCGACATATTACCGATACTTTATCCACTCCCTCGTTTATTTAGAATATAGAGGGCGGGACAAGCAAATTTTGCTTTGACGTTTGACAATTGATGGTCATGTCTAGACTCTAGGATGACATTAGACAATCTTGCGACTAGTATACTACCTGTTAAGGCTTAACTGCGACTTTATTAATCCAGTATGCGACTACTCGAACTACTCCAAAGTGAAAGCCGCCATGTTGTTAAATAAGAAAATGTTTCGTTCCTAAAATAGCAATTCCTGCTTTTTGAATACATTAACTTGAAATATTTGACCCTAAACAACACGCGGAAACATTTTTTTTCGACTGCGAATAAATTATTCTCGTTTTACAAAAAAAAATTCAAGAAATTTTTTTAAACTTCTTTAATTTTAAGGCCTATTAGTATTTTTCAAAGTAGAAACAATACATTTATCAATAAAGTTGTTTGGGTTTAACTTTTTGCCTTGGGTAACGAGTTACAGATTTGGTTAAAGTGTTTCAATAATTATGATCATATGTACATCCTCCATACTTAAATACTTTTGTTTTGTTTTCCTTTACAGTTACAGTTCCTTTACAGTCCTTACTTGTTTTCCTTTTCTCTAACTAAACCATAAAAATAATATAGTTTTACTATAATTATCCCAATTTAGGATAAAACGCGACTTTGACGCCTTATTATTATAGTTTTGTATTTCTGTGAATTAGGATTTTAAACAACGTTGCAGTTTGTGCTAAATTAGGCTGCTAGACAACGTAGGTATCTAACGTCGTTTCGACCCAAAAATTATTCTCCGAACTAGTGCAAACTAGGGTTGGAACGAGGTTGTGCCGACGTCCAAATGCTGCTTGGGCCGTCTCAGATACTGACTTTTGTCAGAGCCCTGAGACTGTATGATGGGAAGAAAAGGGGACCTCAAGAAAGGGGGACACAATCTCAGGAGATCAGGGTCTTGGAACACCCTCAAAAAGAAATTTCCACTTCTCCAACTCCCAGTGGATGACATAACAAGAAGTTACAACTTTGAGAAACACCTCACTGTAGTATTGAGTAATAAAAAGGATTGGAAGGAAAAAACGCTTACTCAGCATGTAAGAGACCATACCATAACGTGGTATACTGATGCTTCCAAAACCAAAGCAGGGACAGGGATATAACTAAATACTCCGAACCAATATGGGCACCTACCCCAGTATCCTTCAGGCAGAAATTTACGCCATCGAAAGATGTGTACAATTTATCTTAGATAGGAACTATCGAAAACAGGAAATTGCCATCCTATCTGATAGTCAAAAGCAGGGCTAAACGCGATCAACTCAGTAACCATCAATTCGAAGTTGGTCAAAGAATGCCTGGAGAAGCTCCATAAATTAGGCAAAGAAAATAAAGTCCTCCTGCTCTGGGTGCCTGCTCACCAAGGGATAGAAGGCAATGAAAAAGTGAACTTTCCAATGAACACTCCACTAACTGGACCAGAACCGTTATGTTTTCCAAACAGGAACCAACTGAAAGCGGAACTGAAGAATCTGGAAGACTCCATATCCAGAATGGTTGTCTTCCAACGGTCTAAGACAATCGAAAAAGTTCCTCAGAAATTACGACCGAGAAAAATCAAAGGTTTTCCTTGATATAAGTAAAAACAATCTTCGGATTGTCACGGGGTTTCTAACAGGACACTGTTAAGGACATCTCCTCAACGAACACCTAAGTAGGCTGAAGCTGAGAAACAACGGCGAAAGCAGATTCTGTGGGGAAAATGGGAAACATCAGAACACCTTATCACTGAGTGCGCGGAGACGACGACCATTCGTGCCATGAACTTTGGTACGGCTGATGTTGAGGATGGAGAGCTGGCCTCTGTGGAGCCGTCTAAGATTATGACTTTTGTTAAAACCCTGAGACTGTATGATGAGTTATAACTCAAGAAAGGGGTTAACCCTTTGAATAAGAAGACTAAGGAAGGAGCATAATGCTATCCATGTATTCATGCATGGTGGGCGGAAAAGCCACCATAAAAGCTCTCTAGGGTGGGGATCCTTGACAGTTCTGTTTGACGATTCATTTGACACATTTGAATTTGATTTGAAATTTTGTGGATTTGTCAGTCTTTACGGAGCTTATTTTATGTTATTTATTATTTATTCTACTACTGATAGTTGTATAAAGGTAGTAAATCTAGATGGAAATTGTGGCAGAACTTAAATTAACAGTGACACTATCGCGATTTATCGAAAAAGACTCTAAAATAGTTGGTTGTGTAGCGTGCGGTAGATCTCGGCAAAAATTGAGTGAAGTAATGGAACAACTTTTCGCTAGTAAGTGACTATATAATATACATACGTGTAGTAAACCGATCATTTATGAAATTCACTTAAATTAACTAAATTAAATATTTTTCTTGCATTTTAGCTTTTATTTATTACTTGTCAAAGATTAGATGTCAAAGAATTTAGATACGTTAATTTGACTTACCTGCTTCAGTAGCGTATCGGATGTTTGTGGTAATAAATACTTATTATAACTTATCTATTTTTATTAGAATTATATATTTTTATAACAATTTTAATAACTACCAACACAAACACGTAAAATAAAACAACATATTATTGAGTCTACCCCACGTCTACCCTACACCATAGTTTTACATTTTTTAAATAAAATTAGAACGACACTGATAAACCGGAATTTAAGTCGGCCATATTTGAGGCCCATCGCTGTGTACCTAAGATTTTTGATATGCTCCTTCCTTAGTCTTCTTATTCAAAGGGTTAACCTAACCTAACCCTCCTAAACATTCTACATTCTACAAAGGGGACACAATAGACACACCTCCCCCTCTCTTACAATTCACAATCTATGGCCTATAAACTCCTATAAGTTTTTATATGAATCCTAATTGTTATTATCGCCAGCAACTAATATACCTATGAATTAAAGTAAATTTTTGAAGTGAAACTTCTTTACGCGCGATAGGAGTAAACATTGAAGGCCGTGACACACGAGACGCGAGAGGAAAAGTGGTAACGTTGACTTTTTGATCATGGAGCGTCGTAACTCGAGCTCTACGTGGGCTAGGAGGCTGAAACTCGGAATTTAGACGGGGCTCTTAGAGCCCCATCTTTTCATGATATTTTGACGACGTTTCGTGCACTACGAAACCCCATCATCAATGAATCAAATCAAAAAATCGTCCGATTTTAATGAAATTTGGTATGTCGATGGATTGGACTAAGGCAATGACTAAAGAATATGAGGACATGTAACGCCCCTATACGGGCTGCAGCAGAATTTGTGACCTTAGACGCCTTTTCTTTTGGTGGCAAACAATGAGTCATCAGCTGGTCACCAACAACAATTTTAGCAATTTTTAATAGTTTGTGTGTAGTGAACTTTGTATAAACTTTATTACAATGCTGATTAGTTGTTCAGCTTTCAAATGTAAAAGCAGCAGTGACAAGAAAGAGCCAGGAGTTACGTTTCATAGGTAAATAAACAGTCCGCTCCACCTTTTTAGCGTTTTCTTATTGAATTCGATAATTATTTTTCTGATATTATATGTACTTGATGTGTGCTATATGTCTATACTAGTTCTGTACCTTTTGATAACATTTTAATACGTTTTTTTTTCGTAATTAATTAGTATGATGCCACCACCTACACCATAGGCGTAGTCAAAACATTTATCAAAAATATAAATATCCCTTCAGCTAGCTAAGTGCTAAGAAAAAAATATGGCCACGGCATTGTTTGGTGCCATGGTAACAATTTGCTCTCGGGTGTTATTTGTCCTTGAATTCTTTAGTCATTGGACTAAGGCCAACTTTACCGTGTACGACGCGCGTCACTGTGACAGTTTTGACGTAAAAAACGTCAAAAGTTGTTGTCGTCCGATCGCGACCAAATGTGGTGGGTGAACGACGATGCACAGGTCACTCTGTAAAGTTGGATACGATGCAGAAGGAAGTAAGAAGAAGTTTCACTTCGAATATGCGCACATAGTGCACACAATTTCTTTTCTTTTACTTAATAAAATGTCACTGTACGCAGGAGAAAGACCCTGTCCAAAGGATGACCGCGTCTCAAATCAAGGAACATCCTTGGATCAGCGAGAAGGAAGGCCAGAGTTTGAGCAGGGGACAAAATATTGTAGAAATGATGAAACAATTTCGATTCGAAATGAACAGTCTGACTGACCGAAAAAGCAGGGGTATGGTGAGTACAACAAAAGAATTCATCTATCCAAAAAAATCCTTTATGGGATTTTTAAAAATCTACAAAATAAAATAATTATTTTTGGTAAACACTTCTGCGTTAAACCTGAACGGACGCTGCTTGTCAGAAGTTTTTTTTGCAAGGTATAGACATTTTTTAAAAGAATTCATATTAGACAGTGTACGGAGTCTGTGGTTGGTTCTTTGCGGATCATTCAGTACTGTAGAAAACCATTTCACAGTGTTAACTTTCATCAGTACTAGTATTTTGTTATCTCTCTTATGCTGGACAGATTGGGACTTAATCTTTTATAATTATATCATTACATAAATTTTATTTGCAGAGTATTATTTGTGATGGTCTTGAATTACCGAGTCTCTCAAACACTAAGTTAGTCAAGGCAGGAATAAAGTAAGTTTATATTAGAGAACCTTGTTTGTGACTGTGACACGCTGTATATACCGTATGATATGATCGAATAAAAACGGCGTCCAGTTGGCTTGGAAATGATCGATGACACCATATAATTTTACATATAAACTGACAGCGATCTTCATTTCATAGCCATCGCTGACGTCGTTTTTTTTCCGATCATATTGTGCTCTTAGCCTTATAACACAGATAACATATAATTATAGATTAGATTATGTGTTATCTGTGCTTATAATCAATTTTTTGAACTCTATAAGAAACTGTTTTAAAAAAACTTTTTGATCCTACGGTATAATCAGTTAATTTTGAACATTTTTGTTTTTAGGCGTAGTACAACCAAAGTGCACAAAGACAAGTAACACGTTCTGCAATTTTGTTTTTATATATGTGATTATATTTATATTTACAAATAATGTTTATTGATCTTTATTATTAAAAGGCTAAAAAAATAAATTTTTCTATTATTTTATTATGCTAAGTATGAGCCTTGTATGAGCGCGCCGCGCCGGTGCTGCCACCATCGGAGAATATCGTAAACAATCGATATATACAAATACACAGGTTTAAATAGCGAGTATAGGCTTGGTGCATTTCAGTTGATTTCAACAAGTTCCGACCGCAACGCACTCTACAGAAATCAGAAATTATCAATATATAGTCACGCCGCCGTCATGTCAATCGCATTAAAATAATATTGAAATCGTGGTCTTGTCATAATATTTAAAGGGTACAAACATATAGTGGGGCATCTCGATGCGATGCATCCTACGCGCACATTTTAAGAACTGTTTTCTAACGCCGAGTAAGTGCGCGTAGGATGCATCGCGGCGAGCATCGCATCGGAATGCCCCACTATGTTTGTACCGTAAGTATCTTAGTTTTTTGCTAGTGTAGTTAGTTATTGAGAATATAAAACACTCAGGTACGAGGTTTGTATCATGTAACGCTGTTTCGGGTAGTAAAAAATAAGTGAAAAAGAATTCGAACTAGGCGTCGTCTTGTCTTATGACAATTTTAAATGTTAATAAAATTGCCGAAAAAATGTTAACGCGTAAAGGAGAGTAATTAGGGCGTTGTTGGTGCAATAACATTCAATAATTTAACTCTCTCGAAACATTTTCTAGCTTCATAGTTTCTCACACCGATTTGATCAAAATCAAAAATGGATTCAAGCAGTTCGACGAAACAAGTGAGTAAACAAAGTGCTTCGGCGAAACAAGTGAGTAATAAAAAAATTAAATAAACATACTATGAGAGGATAAAATATAAATTGCAATATTAATGGTATACTTTTTTAATCAACTAGTGATTAAATGTTTTCTGAACATCTAAAATTATAATTATGTACTTTAAAAAATTTTTGTTATAGCAGAAATCCGAAATAGCCAAAATTATGCCGCATTAGCAAAACCGGTGATTAAAACTATGATCACTAGTAGCCCTTCTGAAGATATCAACATATTTACTTTTTTATTCTTATTTTTAGAATTTTCACTTCAATTATACTTCCTAACACTTTTAGAATAATTAAATAATAATTTTTTCATATAGGCTTGGTGTATTTCAGTTGATTTCAACAAATTCCGACCGCAGCGCACTCTACGGCAGATATCAGAAATGATCAACACATGGTACAAAGAATACAAGGTATGATCGATAGCGGCTCCAATTTCGTTCAGTTCGCGCATACCACCTGTGACGTCACTAGGAAAATAATGAATAAATAAAAAATAAAGAAAGTTGACAGGAGATCTGCATTTTTTGGGGTTATGGTTAAGAATTGTTTATTTTTAAGACTTTTTAGTAAACGTCACTAGGAAAATAATGAATAAATAAAAAATAAAGAAAGTTGACAGGAGATCTGCAATTTTTGGGGTTATGGTTAAGAATTGTTTATTTTAAGACTTTTTAGTTCGTTTAATTTAATAATTACTAAAACCAGCAGTTCCAAAAATATATTTAAAAATAATAATTATCTATTAACATGGATTTGGACGATAGGTAAGAATACTGAATTTATTTCTATATTCGGTATAAAATTGTTTATTAGGTTTTTAGTTTGCGATGTTTATGGTAAATAATTTTCATTTTCATTGCCTCTGAATTCACATGAGGACAGAGTTGAGGATATCTATGGAAAAGTAACCACAAGAGGAATTGTTACATCATTTAAAAAATATTGGGAAGTTTATTGTTTCCCATCGAAAAGTAGAAAATGCCAATGCAGATGAATGTATTGTAATTGTGATAGAAGTAATTCCAAGGGTGAAGTTTATTATAATTAGTGGAAGTAATTCCAAGGGTGAAGTTTATTATAATTAGTGACCTGTGCTTTTCTTTTTATATGTAGATGTTTCTGGTTTTGAGAATAAATCCGTTGAACGACACCCAAAATTTAGAGGAAGTATTTGCATACCCAGAATATGCCCATCAAAGATTATATAGCTCAAATTTCCTTTAATGGTAGGCAATTATTCAATGCAAATTAACTTTTTAAGTGACTGAAATATTAAATAGTTTACAATATGGTATATCATTAAAAATATATTACTTTTAGGTACAATTAGGGCCTGATACATTTCAAAAAGTAGAATATTATTTTATATTAAATGAGGTATTGTACCAACAGTCAATTTATATTAATACCGGAGATGAAAAAATAACAGAATAAATAGTTCTTTTTTTATACTACAAAAATAAACTATAGAATACAACAGTATTTAAAAAAATAAATAAAAAGTTATGTCCCGGCCGAGATTCGAACTCCGGTCTCTCGCTTCCTAGCCCAACTCCTTACGCACTGCTCCACAGTAACTTGCTTAGCGATAATTCAATGACGGTATATAAACAAAAAAACAGGTTTATAACAATATCTTGACGATTTGAACTGGCGCGCGGAGCGTGCTGACCAATAGCGCCTGTTATCACCTGTGACGTAGCGACCAACCTGCGCAATATCATACCTTGTATTCTTTGTACCATGTGATCAACACATAGTTCACACCGCCGCCGCCGTCATGTCGATCGCATTAAAATAATATTGAAATCGGGGTTTTTGCCATAATATTTAATATTTAAGTATTTTTAGTTTTTTTGCTACCTTGCATGTTGATACTGGGGGAGAAACACTCATCAGGTACGAGGTTTGTGATGTAACGCTGTTTCGGGTAGTAAAAAATAAGTGAAAAAGAATTCAAACTAGGCGTCTTATTGCTTATAAATAGTTACTGTATGGGTAAAGAAATAAATAGAAACGAAAAAAAAATGAGTTTTCTAAATATTATATAAAATAAATTATAATTAGAAACATATTTGTCGGGGAATAAAGATAATAAAAGCAATATTTTGTATATCGTTTGGTAAACAAGATAAAGTAGCCAGAATCGATTTGTAAGAAGTGTTTTATTTACGTGTATTTTTTTACATATGGACTTGAACAAGTGTAATATTACAATGAACACAACAATAGATCTATAAGGTCGCATTGATTAACTCCCCTCCATTCTACAATATCACAATGTGGAGTTTATGTACAAAAAATAGAGTTGCTCAATTTTTTTTTTTGTAAAAATATATTACAAGCTTCTAACCATGTCTTCGATCTATGGATTACATTTAGTTTAATAACATAATTATGTAGTATATTTTTATAAAAATACTTTTCAGGATCCTTTGGAAAAGAGTGAAATATTATGTTTGTGGAAGAATAACACCCATTTTTGCAGTCTTTATAAGCACACACATTGCCACCATCTCGTCTTTTCCTGCTACTCGTGTCCTGTTCAGTATTCATATTTAACAATAATTACAAATTAGTACGCAACAAAAACGATACTAAAATTAAACCTTAAAAACTCTCAAAACGATAATATATCGAAAAAACTCAAACTCACTTTAAAAAGGCAAAATGCAAGAAAACAACTAATCAGATTTGTTTATGTTTAAGTTTAAGTCCACTGATTAGCACAGCTGATTAGCGATGCTAAAATCATAGGTTAGAATAAATAAAATACGCCGTTGTCAGATTTTATCGTTTATCTTTGAAATCGATCAACTTAGTCATTCTGTTTCTTTGATATTATCAGTACATTACGAAAAAAGAACCTAAACCAACTTAAACTAAAAATTTACATTTCCGTATTAACATACGTTACTTATATTCTTCTTATATTATTAATTTATTTTCAGAAAATCTTGTTTATTTTTCAAAGAAATATACTTGGCAACAGACAAAATGGGACTTGATGGGACCTTTAAATTTTAATATATCTGCGTCTCTCTCGCGAAATTCGACTTCTTTGTTCACTGTCGTCTCTTGTCTTATCTACTCTTTGGTTTTGCCATAATATTTAGTATTTTAGTTTTTTGCTAGTGCCGTTGATACTATAAAACACTCATCAGGTACGAGGTTTGTGTGATGTAACGCTGTTTCGGGTAGTAAAAAATAAGTGAAAAAGAATTCAAACTAGGCGTCTTATTGTATTGTGACAATTTTAAATGTTAATAAAATTGGCCAAAAAATGTTAACGCGTAAAGGAGAGCGTAATTAAGGCGTTGTTGGGCGCAATAACATTCAATAACTCAACTTTCCCGGATATTCAACTCTCCCGAAACAACATTTTATAGCTTCATAATTTCCTACACCGATTTGATCAATAGCAAAAATGGATTCAAACAGTACGACGAAACAAGTGTTCGTTACATAATCAAAAAATTAAATAGATATATACTATAAGAGGATGAAATATAATTTGCAATATTAATACAACATCTTCTATAATTATAATTATGTACCTTTAAAAAATTTTGTTATAGACGAAATATTATGTCCCACTAGCAAAACCGGTGATAAAACTATGCTCACTACCTATTTTTTTTTAACTGGAATAATAAATTATAATGCAAGTTAGACCTTCGGAAGATATCAAAATATTTACCTTTTTATTTTTTTGTTTAGAATTTCAACAAATTACACTTTCTAACACTTTTAGAATAATTATATGCTAATTTTTTCGTTTACTCGCCATTTAAACCCGTGTATTTGTGTGTTCGTTATTTACGAGTTATCCGGCGGTGGCAGCACCGGCAGAGATTGCACCAAGCTTATACTACTCGCTATTATACTCGTGTATTTGTACATACTAGTTGTTTACGATATTCTCCGTTGGTGGCAGCACCACCCACCGGCGCAGAATGCACCAAGCCTATAAAGGCGTAGATTGACTTGATTCGAGCGTTGTAATGTAACGCTTTATAAAACGAGCATTCGCTAGTCAATGGCGGGAAATAATCGGCGAACCGAGTGGCTCGCGGAAGAACGGCACTCCACTCAACTGTCGGTTTTTTAACGAATCTCTTTGATTGTTTACCAAACCAACACTACAAGTTAGTACAAGTTCGGCGAACGTCCGTATTACAATCATATTTCTAGTAGATATGGTGGTTTTAATTGTGGTTAAACATGCTTCTGTTAATTGGCGATGAAAGAAATATAATAAATAGGTAAAGTTTGAAAAAACGTAGAACTTCCGAATTTAAAGGCTGAAAAAATGGTGGAGCACAGCGAGTCGAGCATTCGAGACGAGATTTTTTAAGCTTCGATTCCGAATGAAACAGCGAACAAGCGTGGCATTACAGCGCTCACTCAGCTCAAGCTCAAGTCAATCTCCGCCTTAATAAACAAAGGTATGAGTACAAGTCTTCTGCGTTACTCTATGGATGTGAGAGCTGGACACTAGATTCACAGACCGAAAAGAGAATAGAAGCTTTCAAAATGTCTGTGTACAAAGGGATGCTGCGAATCTCATGAGTACAAAGGATCACCAACGATGAAGTACTCAAGCGCATGCAGAAACAAAAAGAGATACTGAACACCATCAAGAAAAGAAAAATGCAATACCTGGGTTATGTGATGAGAGGTGGTAGATACGAAATACTGCGCCTCATAATAGAGGGCAAAGTGCAAGGGAAAATATCAGTAGGAAGACGCCAGAACTCATGGCTAAAGGATTTAAGAAGATAGTTTGAACGCTCGTCTGGGGAAATCTTCCGGGTTGCAGTTTCCAGAGCTACAATTGCCATTTGGATCGCCAACCTTCGGCAGAAGAGGGCGTGATAAGAAGAACGAGTACAAGATTATCTGATTAGAAGTATCATCTTTTAAATATAAACGCCTCTCGCTAGTTTTCTACGAATTGTATTGCCTATAAATATGGCAAAGTAAGCCCAAGAGATCCATCCCTGTCAAGCTTTTTATCCAACCAAGCCATAAAGGACTTAAAATCCAAGCAGAGCTTTTTCTGCAATAAAGAAGCATCAACCGATATTTAGTCTGTAGGCAAATTAATCTTTAAAAATGACTTGATTTCATTTTGATATGTTGGGTCAAAGTTTCTGTAAAATTATCCAGAATTAACTTAAGCTAGATAACATAAAGTATCGAAAAATGGTTTGGAGAAACTAAAACGTCGTCATTCTAACCCAGAGATATAGACCATCTCTATATCTCTGTTCTAACCAGAAAAACGCCTCCGCTTGATGACGTAGTAACTTATATACGTCAGAAATGTTTGGCCTTATTTTGCTTATATCAAGTAGGTGTTGGTTTGGCAATCTTTGTTGCGTGTGCGCCCCTTATAATCTAAGAAAATAGGCTTTTAAATATGATGTTTTGGTAAAAACTCCTCTATACTTTTTTTGCTCAGATCAAAATTAACCGATAGGATAGCTAGAAGCTAGGGAATGATGAAATGATGTTTCAATAAAAGATGTTCCCTAGCTGCTAGCCACCCTATCTCGGTTTGATTTGAGCAAAAAAAGGATAGAGATAATTTCTATGTAAAATTTGACGCTCCACAACTTTCATTTGAACTGTTTTGTTTCTAGTTCTTACTGTTTCTCCGAAATTTCGAAAAAATAATTTAATTTAGTTATTTTCACCCCTTCTAGGGGGTGAAAACTCTAGATTGAAATTTAAAATAGAATTTATTTTTGAGTGACTATGTCAAAAATTGACATATGATATGTCATTCGATTCAGAGTGTCATTTTCTATCGAATAAAGTAAAAAAATACCGAGGGTGCCATTTAAAAATCAAAAGTTGTAGTCATTTCCGGTGAAACCGGAAGTGAGGGAAAACAATTGAATACATTAATCAATCCCAATTTATGTCATATACTAACATACTAAATCTGGTTGTTTTATCTGAAAAAATAAAAAAGTTATAGGGGGTGAGCCACTTTTGAGACGCACCCGGTATACATACCTTGAATATTTAAATGTTCTGCCTATTATTCTTATGTCAACTCCAGTAAGAAGTCACGACTACTATTAAAAAGGACAAAAAACTTACTATGATTTACAGCCTTAATTAAGTATTGTAGCATAACATGGTCTTTCACGTCATTGTTAAACAAAGTTGATGAGAGGATGAACAATTAAAGGCAAAATAAAACACAAAACTTTATGAAACAATTTGTATCCATTGTTTATGTATCAATCAAAAATCATACACCACTGAATTACAATTACTGAACAATTTCAAGTTAGACGATTTTATTCAATAAAATATTTGCTTATATTAAAAATATAATCGGACCGAGCGGATCAAACTCCACTCGAAGGGTTATAAAAAAAATTACTTTGTTTGGAATGAAACCGCGCCAAATGTTATAATTATATACAAAACTCCGCTCAATTATGTATTGAAATTTAAAATAATACAGGTAAAAAGCACGTTTCAACGGAGAAATCGGTCGAAACATGATTTTCCAAAGTTAAAATCATATCATGCAGGCTTGCATAGGTCTTAAAATCTACGCTGTATTGTCAAATTATCATTAAAACATATTTAAACCGCCCAGGAGCCTAATTGATTTGATTGCAAAATAAGTTTTATTATAAATAAATTATGAGCTTTGTACTCATCGCTTTCTAGGCGGTTTAAGCTCAATTTGAGAGTTTTCTATATAATCAAAACCTGAACATTTGGCAGTGAATTAAAAGAAAAGTGCGCAGACTAGCACCGCTAATGAACGCAAAAAATTTCCTAAAATAATTACAAGGTTTGTATCATACATACAACACACTGATCTAATAAAAAAAATCATCATTGACTTTAGACTAACTCCTACTACGCAATTTAGCCTACTCAAATGTTTTTTTTGTTAAAATTATTGCCCTTCGATACTCAACTGCGAATGATTTCGTCAGCTGACGCACCGACGGAACACGACGGTAGTTGACAGCGACAAACCCATCTATTTTATTTAAAAATCTGTTCTTTTTTCATATTATTATTACAATATATAAAAAAAGAGGTGTTGCGTACTTTTATCTCGAACGAAGAAGGTTGAAGAACGAAAATGAGTTGTGTATCTTTTGTACAAAATTAAACCCGAGACTACGATAATGTTACGTGACGACGAAAAATGTAAAAACAAACTTAAACTAAATTTAATCCTATCATTTACACAAATTGGACATTTTTACAAATCGAAGAAGGGGTAGAGGTTTTTAAGTAATAAGTTAGATATAAGAGGTCAGGTACCGCGGCTAGCGTTCGCACATCGCACGGTCACTGCAACCCAACAGCGGCGAAAAATCGAGTGAGCTAGTTTGTGGCGATGAGACGAAAATGACGATCGATGATCCTGCGTTGACGATACTAATGCTGAACTAACTGATAAAAGGTTTCGATTTTGACGAATGTGGATACGGCGTGGTAGGTCAATTGTCTGCTGGAGGATGCCGATGACTTATGCGATATGGCGGCGGGTGTGTTGAAGGCTGGCGGCAGCACCTTTTTGGCCACAAAGTAGCTCCTATTTTTTTGCACTGAGAATGTCCGTCACAGATCGTTTTCACAGGGCAGACGGCTGTCCCCGATTTATTATGCGTCGTCCTCCTCTTCGTCCACTTCCTCTTCGCCACCTTCCACGTCTTCGTCATCGTCTTCTGCAATTAAAATAGATTATTAATAATAATAATACAATAAGATACTGTTTCGTAATGATAATGCTTTGGAACTTGTTTGAAACAGGTATAGTTCACATGCTATTCTGGGCCCGAATTCTGTATAGGTACTGTTTTTTTTCTCAGATAAGATTTCGACAGACGATGACAGAAAAAAAGCCGATGGCGTCCCATACCAATCTATTTATTTTACTAAAAAAAGTTTCTAATATTTTTTAAGTTAACTATGGATGGGTTTAAATATAAATCCGTCATGCGTCGTCTCTTGTTGTTTTTAACCAGTTTTATTGGTTTATTTCAAAAATGACCGATCCTATTTCAATTTTATTGGTTTGACGGAACGATGAACGACAAACGGATGCCGATGCGTATGAACTCGCCTTTAGAGTTTTGAGGCTTGTCAAAGTCTTGCCAAATTATAGGTTATAATTTTGTGTCAACTTATGTCGAATACCCTGCGTTTTTGAAGATAATGCATTTTGATTCGTGTTATTACATGCGATTTGTGTCTTTTGAAGTCAAGTGGAGGAAAAATCGAGGGAAAATTAACTCTAGACCCAGAGCACAGTTTATAGTTAATACTCGCTGCCCAGGCAGAAAGTCTTATACACCAACAAAGTTACCATCAATAAAGTTTGTATACCATCTAGACGTAGATAAGTGTATCTCGTATGTGGTACGAGGATCGTACTGAACGTATACTAAAAACTGGAGTAGATGTAAAATATCGACGTCATACGATAGGGAAATAATGGTTTTTAGTACTGCAGAAAAATAATGTCAAAGGTACTGGTTTAAAAAAATTAAGATTAAAGTTAATTAATCAACCTTTAAGATATAAAATTTGGTAAGTGTTATTATTAATAAAATACCTTTGTTTTATTTATGTTGTTTAATTTATTCCTGTGTAATATTACAAATTTGTATTTGTACATAAGTTATATTGAAAAATATAATAATAAATGCGGGTTTCTTGAAGCTTGAAAGTAAGAAATAGTTATTTTTTTATATTTTTTTGGTATGTGGTGTTTTGTTCTTGTTTGTTTTGTATTAACACATACCGTTTTTTTTAATAAAATAACTCGATTACATTTTTTCAGTTTTATACAGCCTTTTTTCACAATATTTTGAAGTAATCACTTTTCAGTCAAATTTTAAATATATTAATTTCCTGCTATGCGTTCCAATTGTACCAACTTATTTCTTTGTAAAATAAGATAAACTACTTTGAAATGAAAATGACAGACCCATCTATCACTGTCAAGGATCTTATCGTTGGACAGACTATAACTTAGAAAACGCTAAGCGCTTTTAGACTCTCAGCGTATATGACGTTAATTTTCGCATAACGCGCACTTAACTACCGATTTGGGTATTCTCATCCGACGCGCTTAGCGTCTTTAATGATTGCGCTAAGCGATTCGAAAACGGTTACCTTCAAGGATCGTTTTACTTGTCGAACTGTCAGTGAAAATCGAAAAAATTGTGATTTTCTCTTTAGTGAAAACTACTTCTGCATCTATATATTCCTCAATGAGTAATTGATAATTTACGACTTGGCAGCTATAAATATTGTTCAAAACATCGAAAATGCTGAGAAGCGTTTTTATTTCCCTCGTATAATAAAAATAATGACATATCTATAGAAAAATAGGATGACATAACTAGGTTATGAAATTCACGTAAGATTGACATTTTTCATTGTTTTATCCACATTTGACTATTAGATACCTGAGAAATTGCGATGCTGCCAATATGTGCGCAACGCGTATCCAGAAAACGATTCGCACGGCAACGAGAATACCAAAATCGTTTGCTTACCGCTTTGAAAGCGTAACATTTTTATGTCAAACTTACACAATTCGAGCCCTGTATTCCAGTGCAAGTTGTTCCAAAACACTGCGACTCAAATTAGAAGTTTGAAGAACAGAAAACTGATGGGGGATAGATAAAGCTGCGTCTCTAACATTTTCGCTGAATGTATACCATGATAGTAAGACCGATGATTACTTATGGACAACTGCTAAGTATATAAAACTAAAGCAACGTACAGCAAGGCAAAACTTGTGCAAAATGTGTGCAGACTGACAAGCATCTGCATCACAGAAACCATGAAAACTTGCTCAACAGCAGCAACGAAGATCATTCTAGGCCTAACACCACTGCACATTGTCATTGGTAGATATGCCAATGCGACAATGATTAGAATGTTCATTCACGGAAACAGTACTGGGAGTATCGTGAGCTCAGGAGTTTGGAACACTCTCAAAAGGGAAATTTCACTCCTCCAACTCTCAGTGGATGACATACCAAGAATTTACAACTTTGAGAAACACCTCTCTGTAGTATTGAGTAACAAAAAGAATTGGAAGAAACGTTTGGTCAGCAATGGAAGATCAGCAAAACGAAAGCAGAAAAAGGTATGGGACTATTTAGGACAAAAACTAAATATTCCGAACCAATGGGCACCTATCCCAGCATTCTCTAAGCAGAAAACTACGCTATCGAAAGATGCGTACAACTTATCTTAGATAGGAACTATCGGAAACAAGAAATAGCCATCTTATCTGATAGTCAAGCAGCCTTAAGAACGATCAACTCACTAATCATAAATTCGAAGTTGGTTAAAGACTGCTTAAAGAAGCTGAACAAATTAGGCAAAGAAAATAAAGTCCTCCTACTCTGGATGCTCGCTCACCAAGGGATAGAAGGTAATGAAAAAGCAAACAATATATCTGGAAAAGGAGCGAACATTCCACTAACTAAACCAGAACCGTTCTGCTTTCCAACTGAAAAACAACCAAAAGCAGAACTTAAGAACCTGGAGAACTCCATCCGTAACCTAGAGTAAGAATCCTTCAACGGTCTAAGACACTCAAAGAAATTTCTCAGAACTTTTCCCGAAATTTTTTTTTAAAAAATCCTTAATTTAAATAAGAACAATCTTGGAATTGTCGCGGGGTTTTCAACAGGACACGGTCGCCTCAATGAACACCTCTATAATCTCTATAAAACCGTCTCAGATACTGGCTTTTGTTAAAGCCCCGATACTGTATGATGAGTATTAAAATGTGTAATAAAGCTTACCTTCTCCCTCAATTTCTAGGTCATCACCTTCGGGAATTTCTTCCTCTCCGGTGTCTTCCTCTTCGAGCGCCTCCTCATCTTCCTCTTCATCCTCTAACTCTTCCCCTTCGGAGTTTGCTCCGTTCTCTTCTTTTTTCGATTTCTTGGCGTCATCGGTTTTATCCTAGAAATCAAAAACGTCTACATGAATATATAACATTTTCTACCTACCCAACCCTAGCTCCAACAGATGCAAATATGCATTTATTTCGTGGAGAATACTTCGAAATAACGATAGTGTTTAAGTTATCTACTGTTTTTTTTTTATTGTACCTCTACGTATATAAAAATATAAAAGACAACAAGTAAGGCAGTGCCGAAATGAAGAGCTTCAAACCATTCCAATTGACTTTGGAAGTACTATACTTAGGTAAGTCAATGATTAAATGTTCGAATATTAAAAAGTTTTTCAAGTGTTAACTTATTTTTATTATTGAGAATTGTAATTGAAAGTAATCTGAAATTTTATCAGGCTCAATCAGATATGAAATAACTTCTCCAAACAAGACATAATTTTCAAGTAATTTATTATCTAGGTTAGAATGAAAATAGACAGACCTGTTATCAATAATTATTATCAGATAACATTTTAATTAAAAATACAGGTTGTGAAATAGACCAAATATTTTCACAGGAAAAATAAGTTAATTTCAGCTGAATGTTCGTTAAAACGCTTGAAAATCAGAGTTAATGTATACAGGGTGATCCACACATCAGAATAAGTTTTATGTTATATAACTGCTTTAAAACTGTACAATGTGACTCAAAGTAATTGTAATTATTCACATGAAAACAATACATATAGACAATATCTAGCAAAATATCATTTCACTTGAATATTATTATTTTTCTGTGTAAAAAAACAAAGACAAAATATTTTTAGATTCCTATGAAAAATCTCGTCTCGTGCGCTACAGGAATTACTCTAAATATCGCAACAGGATATATTTAAATTGAGATATTATTTTAAGATCTGGGCAGATCATAAATAGCAGAGCCGTCTGCATATATAAAACTGAAATTGATCGCCAAAAATCAAAAACGAACGAGACAAAAACGTGAGCGTTAAAAGAATATATACTAGTCATCATGTCAATGAATAATTGACAGTGTGTACGATACGTCATTATTAGGTTTGTTCCAACCAAAATGACCAAAGAATACAATTTTGTGTTGTTAGACGCCATTTTTTTGGAGGAACGGACGGATTAATCACCACCGACGATTTTAGCGAATTTTATTTGTTTGTTGTGTGTAGTGATTTTTTTGTATAAACTTTACTACAATGGTGATTAGTTCAGCTTTCAAGTGTAAAAGCCGTAACGATAAGAAAGAGCCAGGAGTTACGTTTCATAGGTAAATAAAGTCCACTCCACCTTTTTAGCGTTTTCTTATTTGATAATTATTTTTCTGATATTAGATATTCTTGATTGTGCTAACGTCGATACTAGTTTTGTACCTTATGTTAACATTTTAATATTTTTTTTATAATTAATTAGTATAATACCACCTAAATAAACATTTATTATCAAAAATATAAATATTTCTTCAAGGAGCTAAGTTAACCCTAAATTGGCGTGGTTAATTTTTGTACCGCTAATGGCGTGCTAGTCCTCTAGACCGCTAGAGGCCCGATTTTTTTCAGTTAAAAATACATGATGAAGATATTTCATAAAAAGCTTGTTATTTTAACACTGTTTCCAATATATGCAAACTTGTGAACAAACAATTTTTTTCATTAATTTTCAACAAATTAATAAGAACGGACACAAAAATAAAGTAAAACGATTTTTTTAGGAATTTTTGACAACAGAAATATAACTTGGCTAAGAAACCCATAGAAATTAAAAACCTATACATATATTTTATGATTTTACCGTATTATTAAAAGTACAAACAACTGAAATGTGAAGCTGAAGCAATAAACATAAATTATTTTCAACAAAACTGCAAACCTTGAATATACATAACTTTTCAAATACAGTTCATGGTAATATAGGATCTGCATTTGCCGCACGTGGATCGTGCACATTTGATTCATGAAATTTTTGTTTTTTGTCATTTCTTCGTTGACATATACCACATCCCTTTCTTTTCTGGTATTGAATATTCAATTTTCTCTCTTCTATAAGTAAGAGATTCAGAATCGGAGTTATGGTTACTCTTCGGAGGAAAATCAATGTCTCGATGATCTTCATCTCACTTAAGCCTCTTTAAGTTCATCAAACCACTCAATTAATGCTTCCTCAAAATTAGCGTCCAAGTGAGGCACACTTTTTAGACTACCCACCATCCTAATAATGAAACTTTCTTGGCGTGGTGGTGCCGTGGTGCCACACAAACCCCAATGAAACTTTAAATTAAATTTTTTTCGCAAAAAAAAACTCATAATCATGTTTCTCGTGTCGAAATATAATACCTAACTAAATGATTCTCTCGTTAATAACCTAACCTAACCAAGAACCGATTTTCTCTACTGCGCATAAGCGTAACCGTGCCAAGAACGGTTCTGTGCTATGTTGGAACAAACCTATTATGCACGTTGGACAGACTACATCTTATTTGATGTTTGCTACAGTAAACAGACCTCTAAAAGCGTGTCTATGTAGTCTATGTACTCATGGTCGAAGACCTATCAATCATAAAATATTTTTAAATAGACTTGCTAATTGGAATTATTAGCACTGACGTATAGTAGTAATTAGAGTATTTTAATCGAAACGGATTCATAGTTATAATAACTATAAAAAGAATTAAGAATATAGAAGGTGCTAAAACATGAAAAAATGTGTAGGTATGATATTTTAATATGTATTATTTTCATTAAATTGTAAGCAGTCTTGTCTAGAACAAGATAGTTGTAGATTTTTTTCTTGGGTGTGGTAATCTTTCTTGTTCGCACTTACTTTTATAACTTTATTACAATTAACTTATAATACAATCGAAAAAAAATGGCATCTAAGACTTGCTGGGGAATGACAATTTTGGCGAGGTCAAGGACTTCTTTATTTTTTAATGGCGCTTACTGCCAGTTGGCTTTAAGGTTGTAATTTATTCTTATATTGAGTAAATATGATTTTAAATGGTGTGTAATGTAAAATTCGAGAAAAAATATTTTTTGGAAGTAGATTTGTGCGACTATAGTGTTAATTTTTGAGTTTTATGTCAATTTTTCAGTAACCGACGTCTAGAGATTGACCTCGACACAATTATTGTTGTTTTGTTGTTGTCATTTCGCAGCCCGCCCTGACGCCGTTTTTTTTCAATAATACGATACCAATTATCAAAGAAAAAGTGTAAGGAAGGATAGAATAAGCAAAAAGTGATGAAAGAACAATTTATGAAAGGCTAATATCTTAATATCGTAATAATTCTAACAAAGAGATGGTACTTTATAGCAGACTCCCTTGCATTGTGTCTCACCTTTCCAAGAAGTGTATTGTTAAATATTATTGGGGTTGTGACTTAAAGTAAAAATGTAAAAATTTTATTACTTTAAAGATGGAATTTTCTTAAAACTAACAAAGAAATACAATAAAAAAAAGGTAATGTTTTATTTCAGTTATGTTATTTTATATCAGGCTAGGGCAAAATGGGTCTACGGTAGAATTTCCGTGTTGTTAATACCATCTGCCATCTGCATCAATAAAATATGAATGATGTTAAATAGATGATTTCCAAGTATCCTTACTTTTTTAACATGTTCCACAAAAAAATCCAAACTTTCATCAAAATATCAACATTTTGAATTCCCTCGTATAATTGACAGATGATAACTTTTATTTTCAATTTAGAAAAAGAGATATTAAAGTCAAATAATTTAGCTACGAATTGCTTTAAAGATCATTTATTACATTAAATTTCAAATCGGCCCACCAGAACTATACCGGGTGCATCTCAAAAGTTGCTCACCATTATAACTTTATTTTTTCAGATTTGGTATTTTAGTATATGACATAAATTAGGATTGATTGACATACAATTGTTTTCAGTCACTTCCTGTTTCACCGGAAATGACTACAGCTTTGTCCTTTAAATGACACCCTCGATATTTTTTTACTTACTTTGACATATTCGCTTAAAAACAAATTGTACTTTAAATTTCAATCTAGAGTGTCATGGCTATGTTAAAAATACTAATTTTTAATCAAGCACTCTTGGAAAAATAGATTTGATCGTTTAATGTTTTAGTGTTTTGTCCTGGCCGGTTAAAAGATGCCCAAATCGTATTTTTAATCGTATCTCAATTTTTTCAAATGGAACCAAGGGTGGCTCATTAGCATATATGGAAAAAGCATTTTTTTACAAATAATTTGATACCACACACTTGGTATTTCGAGTCAAATTATCGATATGAACCGCATGTTAATAATTTCAAATAAACCATATGCGAAAATGTCAAAAGTTGACATATGGTACGTCATTCTATTCAGAATGTCATTTTCTATCAAATAAAGTAAAAAGATACCGAGGGTGCCATTTAAAAATCAAAAGTTGTAGTCATTTCCGGTGAGACCGGAAGTGACCGAAAACAACTAAATATGTCAATCAATCCTAATTTATGCCATATACTAACATACCGAATCTCTCTGAAAAAATAAAAAAGTTATAGTGAGCCACTTTTGAGACGCACCCGGTAGATAAGATACTGTAATGTAATATAAACATAGATAAACCAGAACACAATAAGTAAAAACATCAAAAATTTAAGGTGCCCGTTTTTTATGCCGGTGAGTGTAGGATATCCTAGCAGCTGTAATCAGTTGTATTCATAGCGAAAGCCTAATAATTAGCTTAAAGCGGCCCTCACACGATCAATAATATTGCCAATATTTTTTATTGTCAATGTTTTATCAATCATTGAAAGGTGGCCTGACACGGTCAATACATATATTATATAATATTATATAAGCGTGTATTGGCCTTATTCATTTTGGTACATGCAAGTGAGAAAAAATCGAGGAAAAAAATTATAAAAAGGCGTTGGATAAAAAATGGATATCAAAAAGAAAAATGGGGGTTTGGCCAACTAAATGTTCTAGAGTACGTTAAAAAACAGAAGCCTGGTGATTGCGATCTAAAACTAGTGAAAACAATGACGGCGATGTGCCGTCTTCCGCCATG